CTGCTTTCCAATTAGCCGAGGCCGCCAGTAGTGGAGCCACTAATGCTTACTAATCTGTTTACACTAAACTTGAAATTTCAGGAAAGGTGAAATGCAATTTCCTCTTCCCCACTTGAAACCTGTTCGGTCCAGATCCAACCGCCAGCCTGAAGATGCCGCGAGCCACGCTTGACAACCTCCCTTTGGAGGTCGCCCATATCATATTCGAATATTGCGCTATCGCTGCCTCCGGACGGCTTCCCCGACCTTTCCAGACCTCACAGATGGATATTTGTGTGCCCACAAACAAGAACCCGAGGAACCATCTTGGTATTCCCAACAACTGCAGCCTCTCTTGTCACTCTGCCTAGTCTGCAAACAATTACGCAACCTCGCCCAGCCCTTCCTCCACCGCGAATTCATGCTAGGGTATGGCGATTCCTGGCTCTCAGACAAGTTCACCTGGAACGGCCGACTTTTTTCCTTCCTGCGAACGGTGGCGCGGCGAGGGGACCTAGCTGCCCAGGTAAAGCGAATTTGGATCCACCCGCAACTATGGGAAAGCCATCGTGCAAAAGATGAAGTGAATTTCTGGATGACTCCGGAGAACCCCGTGTGGAGATTTGGTTCTTGGTTCTACCAGTGCGATGTCCGGGACGTCCTCGGTGATGTCGCGGATGCACGGGGCATTGATGCAGTGCGAACGCTGTCGGAGCACGACTTGATCGCAGTTTTGATTTCACTGTTGCCCAACCTTCGACATTGTGGTCTTCAACTGGGTGTTGATCGTGATGACGTCACTCCAGCGGCGGGACTACGAGCAGCCACAGCTTCGGTGCTCCCGATCAGGACGATGGACCTCGCCATGTGTGCCACAGCCTGCGAGTCACGCAAGCTGTATGGTAAGATTTCGATCCTCCAACGTGCATTTGGGCTTCTTACCCTGTCTATTGGCTTGGAAACACTCAATCTTCACCAGTATTATGGCATCTTCAGCGACGAGAGAGACCCAATCCCAGCATTGCCGAATCTCAAACACCTGCGTCTCACCTTTTGTTGGCTCGACGACCAAACCCTCCGACGACTCCTCTCGTCCTGCAGTAGTCTGCAGACATTCCACTACGAAGCCACCTCCAACCCGGAAAGATACAACATCGGCTACTATCCCCTGAATCTTGTATACACGGGCAACATTCATTTCCGCCTCGTGGATGCAGTACGACATCTCAGGAGCCTCCACTGCAATACACTGGAATCTGTGCATCTGGACCTGCGCATGCGCGGGTTTACGCCATGCACCCCGGAGCCTTGGGCTGCGTTTAGCTTCCAAAATTTTACCAGACTACAACACCTTTCCCTTACTTTGGACGAGTTCCACCCTGTGTACATGGATCCACATCTGACTCCAAGACAGGGCTTGACCGCGCTCCTCCCATCTGCCCTCACATCTCTATCTCTAGCTGGACAAATCACTCAAGAGCCCCCCCGCATGGAACAGAGCCTCCGCGGCCTCGCAGAAGCCGTTTCACGCGGGTACCGGTTCCCCAACCTAAAAGTCGTTCGATGGGACGAAACCCAAAGATTAAGCGACGACTTCACCATCAAGATCACACCCATGTTCTCCGAAGCCGGCGTCGACTTCAGCTACACCGCTTGGCCACTGAGCAGGTCGACCCTGGGCGAGAGCCAGAGTCTTGCACACCCGAGCTATTTCGATGATGGCTATCGCCATGATCCGCACCGGTTTGTTTCTCCGTCTGATCTTCCGCCTGTTCCGCAGCCGGCTTGGGATGAGACGGACCCTGATTTGTGAATGTTGGGGTTATTGTTTCTTCCGCCTCTATTCCACACGCCACAATGACACGATCTTATGGGTACCCTGGGTCGTTTGCGTATCGCTTGTGATTCTCTCAACTGCTTCTGTCAGCTGCTTCTGTTAGTTGGGTCTAAAATGCTTACCCGACCCAGCCCCAAACCAGCCTACATTTTGCATTGAATCTTGGATCATGAATTGCGAGAGCAACTACACCCGTCAACCGCGTGGTAATGACTACCCTCGCTGCTACATCTTAGGCTGACGGGCTTTCATGAGGTGCTTTCCCACGATGGCCGCGCTTCGGTTGCTGTTCAGACGGGCCTGTTCCTGCCGGACAAGAGCACCAACTGTCACCCCTGCGTTCCCAACGCGTTCACAGATCACATACCCTGCTCCTCTTGGCTAATTTGTCTTACTATCCGCGCAGTTGCCGCAAAGGGTTTGATTCATGCCATCTTCCGCGTTCCCGGATCTTGCCCATTCTGGTATCGCAACCAGCTGTTCTCGGCTGACCTAGGTGTCTCGCGGTCCACACAACAGCTACGAACGAAGTACGCCCCCTATAACCAAGCCGTCACCGGCGGGATCTAGATCTAGTGATGCCTACATCGTGTCTGCCGACCTCGCCAGCTCGACAACTTGAAGGAATTTGTCATTATTTTAGTTAATATTAAACCGAACACTAGAATGAGAGCAATTAATGATGCAATACGTGCTGCTCCCTACCCAGCTTCTATATTACCTTTTAATATATGTACCTGTCTCTCCCTTCCCGATTTCCCAGTCGGTCCAACATGGAGAGAGCAAATAGGCCCAGTCGCCCAGGGTAACGCGAGGGAACCACCCTACTCCCGCCTTGTTTCGATCGAGTGCAAGTTCGAGCGAGGTCGCGGTTTCACCAGAGTTCGTTACCTCTACCTTGAGTGAGGGTTCGCAACGAGAAAGGAACACCATGAAAACAGGAGATGAGAATTGCAATTGAAGACAGCTAGTTTCGTGCCAGAGAACCAAGGCTGCTGACGCTGGTTCTGCGAGAAATCCTTTGACGGTCTGAGTTCCTTGTAACATCTGCCGCGGGGAACTCAGGGGGGGTCAACGGCAATGCACCAGGAAACCTGAGACAGTCTACATAGTCTTTAAGCTCGATCCTTGGATTAGCTGCCCTTTACTCTTTCTAGCCATTCTTTGGCGAGTCAATGGTGGTTCGACGCGGACAGCGCGGGACAAAGTGACGACGGACAATGAACCAGGGACTCTATTCTGGGAACCAGCGACACTTTGCTTTAACAGGCAACAGTAGCCAGATCAAAAACTCGCGGATAAAGAGAGCCTCAGATTATTAAGAAGAGGAGGGACACTCACTTCTCCTTCCATTTTTCCACCTCATCAACCAACTTGTCCACTCAAGAAGAATTCCGCAATACCTCAAACTACAACACCTTCCACGCGAAAAGGTAACATGGCACCCAAACAGAATAAGAAGACTGCAAAAAGTGCAAAGCCCGCGCTTCGCTTGGTATCGCCCACACCCTCAATCCCTTCCCCAGACCGGACGCCTCCTCCTCGCTCGCCGACAGACGCGGGCCAGGTCAATTCACGCATGGTCAAGAGAGACCTCCTCATCACCAAACACCAACGCTCGATCCCGAACGAACAGTTCAGGAAGCAGGTCGAATACGCTGCGCGGCTGTTTTTCAAGCAGTCGGATGTCGCCGTGGCCGTCAAGGCGATCAAAGACCAGTGGATCGAGCACGGAATCTGGGACAGCGCCTGGGAGGAAACGAAACTCACGGAGAAGCGCTGGTACTGGAAGCACGAGGCGCGGCCCGGTGTTACTGGACAATTACAGTCTGGGCATCTAACGCAGAGAGCCTTGATTCGAGCAGCAGCACCGCCGCCTCTCGCCCATTCAACCAGTTCGTGGCCCAGCTCCAGGTGGAGTGCCGGCGGATCCGCGACCATGTCCGTGGCAGGAGCAGCGTGCTGAGCGGGGACATCCTGCACGCGATCTACACGCAGGCGTACACGAAGCTCCGGAGTCTGTGGGACTCGTGGGGCATTTGGTACCGGGGGTGGCAGATCATGCCGGGCACCACGTGGATCCATGAGCTGCCTCTGGAGGCCTGGCTCAAGGAAGAGATGGGGGACGAGTACATTGCGCATGACAAGAATGCTGCGCCTGTGCGGTATGTCCTCGAGGATCTGGAAGACGCCTCTCGATTGATACTACCTGTTTCGTTCGAGGAGCTGTTTACTGCGCCGGCCCGTCCGGGGGGCCCCTCCTGGGTTCGCTGAGTTCGCAAAGTCCCCCACCACGTTTGGTGCTGCCGATGCGGCAAAGGCTGCTAAAGCTGTCAAGCAGGCCACGAAATCGACGACCAAGAAGAAAGCCAAGGAGCAACCCAAGTCCGCAGCCCCGGCCAAGAAAGCGAAGACCGTCAAGCAATCGAAGAAGACGCCGGCGGCACGAACTCCAGTCCAGCCGTCGGGAGGCGTGTCCAAGAGCCGACGGAGTCCCCCACCCCTCCGGAGGAGTCGTCGCCTGCAGAGTCCCGACGAATAGTGGTGACACATGAATTCACTATATGAGTCTCAACAGGACCAGGGCAAGGAGTCTTGATATATGTGTGGTGCTTATGTATATATGAGTGTGGTGGAGGGCCAATTTTGGATTCTCGACGAGCCTGGAGCTTGTAGCGTTTCATTGTTTGGTTTCTAATTATAAATTCTCTTGTAACATCCCGCCCTACACAGTAGTTTCTAGATTAAATCTCTAAAGCCAAGTACAATCATTGCCACGAATCCTCTGCGCTTTGGAGCCGGAGCCCTGATAACCCTTCGCAGATTTCGTCCCAGGTGCAGGTGGCAATGGTTTTTTTTTTTTTTTTTTGCAGGGTATGGGAAAAGCACGGACGATAGATATTATCCCACGTTGTGATGATGATGTATAGAGTAGTTTATTTACTCGTCCAGGCTGGATGTAGCGTTGTAGGAGTGGAACGTGTGTAGACCAACCACGACGGGCGAAGCAGAGAAGAGCAGTCGTTAAATACTGTAAAGCCTTTATTTACCTGGTAAGCCAACCAAGTATAAATAAAATCTCTCTCTACCTGTCACTATAAAATAAGATATCGCGTGAATTAAGCAAGGTGTTCATTTGTTTTACTCGCCGCAAAAAAAAAAAAGAAAAGAAAAGAAAAAGAATCGACCGAGGCGCGACTCGAACACGCAATCTTTTGAGACTTCAGGTGTTCTCCCTACTGGAAGATTCCCGCCGAAATCAAACGCCTTACCATTAGGCCACCCGGCCGATGATTATAAAAAGGATGTTCCCAAATGCGAATGATGAGATATTTGGGATCTCTGCGTGTATCATATAAGGGCCCATGTCTCGCTCTATTGTCTACCCGACTCACACTATGATTGTACACAGCAGTTTGGGCCAGAATCTATCTAAATAGACATGGGCTGCCGGACCAATTCCCTTTTTTGCATGTCCATTTACTGTTGGCGAGACCCCGTAGTGAAGTTGGTCCAGTTGGGGGTGGACGTAGTGACGATGCGGAGGAGGGGAAGACCCCAGAGAATATGAGGAGGCGGGGAATATAAGTGCGAGTGCGAGTTCAAGTGCGCAGATCTCGAATAGGCCTTCAATTGTGTGGAACCTGGGTGATAGGGTAGTCTTGTTGGTTAGGTTTGTGTACATGTGAGCCATGGCCTTGGATACTGTACAGACATAAGACATAAGACATAATTTTGCGGAGTGTTCCCTTGTATACTTCTACTAGTGGTCTAGTACACGACCATGTTAGGCACGCAATTGGCATGAGATGAGGCGAGGCGAGGTAGATAACATAATTATCCTGGATACAAAGTATTCTACCACGCGAGCGCTCTAGGACTTCATGTACAAGACAATACCCAGCTCAGCTTTTGGTAGCTGCTGAGTTGTATTTTATTATAAGCTGACTAAGTTAGTTGTACCCTAGATTGCAATGCAAAATTCATGCCCCATTCAGCGTCTCCATATATATCCATATAAAATTCTCTAAAGGTTTCCCGCGGTGCAGAAGTTAGGGCATGGTTAACAGCCCCCCACCTTGCAAGGTACCTAGGTACATTCTATGTTCGGCCTCCGGATACCAGGTTTGGCGTCTCTTAAACGACGGCAATGCATGGTTGCGGGAACTAGTCAAGATGCCTATAGTATCTTGACTCGAGTTGATTCATGTGCGTGACAAATCTTCGGGTGCTTGAAGACTTGGAACTCACGGAGAAAAACGTTTGATTGCGAATAATCCCGGGACGCATTTGTCCAAACAGGAACATAGAGTCGGAGTAGCCCAGATTTCAGGGTCACCGGGGTGTCAGTCGTTCCTTCCCTCCGTAGCCATCCGGCCCAGTCTGGAAGGCGCGGCCTGTAGAGTACCGGAGGAAGGAACGACCGCTGGTGGCTCCTTCCGTGTATAGCCATATGTATCTAATACAAGCTGGCGGGGAAGGAGCGATGACGGGACACACACGTAGCTGCCTTTGAAGTTGCAAGATCGAGTACCAGTTTTCCGCTTTCGAACGGAGCCGACCCTACTAGGTACTAGCCCTGTTGCCTCTCAACCTGGCTGTGGGAGGTTACAGGGGCTTGAGATAGGGCTGTAAACCACACTCTGCTTCCAAGCTGAGCGGTAATATGCGTATAACATTGCCGTCTCGACACGTCGTGCACTCCCCTTGTGCTTTCACCTCCCAAACCCTTGGAGTTTCAGGGCGAGACAACTTTCCAGACACTGAAACACATGGCGCACATCTAAAGCAGAACGCACATCGCAGACGAACTCTGCTTTACAGCGGCAACATGCAGTCCCGTCATCCAATTCCAGGACCGAATAAAGCATCGGTCAGGTCTGGGTATAACCTACTGGAGCGGGCCGCAGAAGAGCCTTGGCCGATCTCGAGGCGGTTTGTACACGCGACGACGTTTGGGTAAGACGCTTGGGTACCAAGCTGGGCTGGCTAGAAATCCGGCGGCACGGGGTGAATTACCTGCCGATGATTATGATGATGATGACGATGATGATCGAGGTCGACGACGAATCATCCGCGTGTCTCTGTGAAGGAGTGTTTTCACGGGATGTTGACGGCCGCGTTACCCCGCGGAGAGGACGGCGAGGCTCATCAGGTGGTTCCGTTCATCGGGTGTCACTACTACAAGTAGTTTGGCGAGGGCTGTTGCTGGGTAGCCTTCCTGGGCTGCGCGGGCGATGGCAAGGTGGACTTTTGGTTGTTCCATGGTGAGCTGGTGGAACTATCGTCTTGTAAGGTGAAAACTACATTGTGGTTTTTGCGTGCCTCGGAGATTTGGGAGGTTGAGTGCTGGGTATTTATCAAGTCTCAAGGCTCAGGCCTGGATTGAGTACTGCCCACTGTCTCGGCCCCTTCCCCTACATACATACTAGCCGGGATACTCTAGGATGCTTGTCGCTTGAGGCGGTAACCAAAGCTCTCTCATTTCCTCACCAGCCCCCTCTCCCTCACGCCTCGAACGAGCACGGGCTAAACCTAAGAGTGATTGATATATCTCAAGGTTCGGATCCTCCCGACTTGACGATCCCGAAAATCATGCCGTGGGCGAGCGAGGACGCAGATTACCAGCACATTAAATTGGCCAACCATCCAAAAGCCGGGGAATGGCGTGGGCTTGACTATACTCCGTCACGGGTAGCCTGGGAATCATCCCGATTGGAATTGGCCTGTAGCGCCCGATCCCCGAATTCCCGAAGCCGGATACAGCATAAAGAGAATCGCCGCCGACGGACGGGGTATCCATTGGCTAGCGATCTTATGCGTCAGTTAAGCCGACGATCCGAGTAACGTGTGCGATGAGTGGTAACTGGCAAGGCATCTGGTGATTCGAAGATAGAGGGCGAGCGGCGCGCGCCGTTTTCGCAGAATATCGTATCGCAGGTCGAAAACCAGCAATTGGGGTGGCATCCTGGAACAAAGGATCAACAGACGAAGAATGTACTTTGCCCTTCTGGGCATAGATCGAGCTGACCAACAACGACCCTTGACGTTGCATTCTTCCCAGCGGAACTCTTCCGCCGCTGCTGACGAACTCTGATTGGAGAATGCGGTCATTTATACCTGGCCAGACTCCCAATTCACAACGTCAACCACAAACTCCAAACCAACAAGCATGTCGCAAACCAGCGTCATCGAGGCGCCCGCCGAAATGACTCGGGGAAGCACAGCACCCCCCAAACACCCCCTCACAATCACCGACCCCGACCCAGTCACCAACCAACCACGGCCCCTCAGCACCGCCCAAGCAACCACCGCCGTAATCGCCCTCACGGGCGTCAGCTTCCTCAACACAATGGGCTCAGGAATCCTCACCGTCGCGCTCCCCGCCATGTCCACGGACCTGCATCTATCCCGCGACCTGATCCTCTGGCCCGCAGCCGTCTACGCCCTCGCCGCCGGCTGCACGCTGCTCATCTTCGGCGCCGTCGCCGACGTCCTCGGCGACAAGCGCATGTGGATTTCTGGGAGTATCCTCTTCGCCATATTCACGCTCGCCTGTGGTCTCGCGCGCTCGGGGAATCAGCTCATTGCCTTCCGCACACTCCTCGGTGTCTCCATTGCAATGTGTCTCCCGTGTGCGGTGAGTCTGATGACGAGGACGTTCCCACCGGGGCGGAAGCGGAATTTGGGGTTCGCGTGTATGGGCATGGGGCAGCCGCTTGGGTACTCTGTGGGATTGATTCTCGGTGGGTTCTTTGCGGATTCGATTGGGTGGCGGTTTGGGTATTATATCAGTGCCATTATCAATGCGTTGCTCTCTGTTCTGGCGTTTTGGAGTCTGCCCGCTGAGAAGGCGAGGGCGCCGGGCGAGTCGCTGCGTAGCGGGTTGATGAAGATCGATTGGGTTGGGGCGCCGATTATTAGTGTTTCGCTTGCGTTGCTCTCGTTTGTCCTTGCGTGAGCCCACCCTTCCTCCCTCCTATATCAACCCACCCAGCTAACCCCAGGAACAGGCAAATCACAGAGAGCTACCACAGCCTCGGGGATACATACATAATCATCCTCCTCGCACTCGCACTGATCCTGCTCCCCGTCTTCGTCGCCTGGGTCGGATACCAAGAGCGCCATGGGCGACCCGCCCTCATCCCGAATAGTCTCTGGAAGAGTACCGTTTTCAGCGCGACGTGCGTCATTGTTTTCTTTGCGTGGGCCGAGTTAAATGCGTTGCAGTATTTTACCAGTCTTTAGTATGTCCATCCTCTATCCCAAACCCGGTTTATCCCATCTGCCCCTCTACTACCTATCCAACTCCTCCAGAGACGAACAATGGAACTAATCTCTACGGTGGCATCTAGCTTCCAAGAAATCCAACACAACACAGCCCTCCACTCCTCGCTAATGTTCATCCCAATGGTAATAACCGGCGCGGCGACGAACATCTTCACTGGGTACATGGTCGACAAAGTCAAAGTCGGCATCCTCGTCTTCGTCTCCGGGCTAATTAGCACGGTCTCCCCGCTCCTCATGGCCCTCGTCAAACCGGAATGGGGATACTGGCGTGGTCCGTTCGTCGCTATGGCGTTGAGTCCCGTTCATGCGGATGGTTAGTATACATACACCCTTTTCCCACCCCGTAAAACCGATTCCGCAAAGGTTAGGTAGTGAAATGCAAGGCCTGAGTGAAAGCTAACAAAGAAATGGAGGACAGTCCTCTTCACAGTCTCAAACTTAATAATCTCACGCGCATACCCGGGCCAGAACCAAGCGCTGGCCGGAGCGGTCTTCAACTCGGTCTCGCAGGTGGGCAATTCCGTCGGGTTAGCGGTTAGCGCTGCGATTGCGGCGTCGGTGACGGAGCATGCGGGGCAGGGGGAAACGGAGGACGATGCGACATTGGTAGGCTATCGCGCGGCGTATTGGTTGATGTTTGGCGCTATGGGGGTTGTTTGTTTGGTTAGTTGGGGCGGGTTGAGGGGGGGTGGGATGGTGGGGAAGAAGACGGAGTAGGTGGGTTGTTTGGATGTAGATGGAGATTGGCATGGTGAGGTGAGGTAAGGGTACTTGGGGGATTTGAGGTCGAGATAGGGAATAAAAGTTGGGTGCTTTTATCGAGTTGCTCTTCTCAGTGTTCGGAGTGGGCTTCGTTCGACAAGTACCTATAGAAGGAGCCTTGAGGCTCCATCCATTCCATCCAAAGTATGCGTCGTCCACTCTCGCTCAGCAAAGGATATCGGAGGCTCATCCGGGGGTGGAAAAGAACAAAAAAAAAACCAACGACCCTTTCTCAGT